TAATTCTAAACCCTTTCTTACATCAAAGACCCCAGAGCCCGAATTGCAATAGCTCCACCGCAGCTCCTGGCAGGAAGGCGCGGAATGTGTCGGCATTGCTCTGGCTTCCCAAATCGGATAACGTTCAGGGGTGTCTCGGCACATGAGTACGCGAATTTCAAGCTTTTTGTGATTAGGATTTTTGGTTTGAGGGCTTTTAGGGTTTTTTTGGCGTGTTTCTGGTTTAGTCATTATGCGAACTCTTCTTGTCATATGAGCTCCGCAACTAAGGTGTGGGGCGCACCCGGCGAACCACTTCCAAGACAGAGCCTCGACAAGCTAGCGGGCTTTCGTGGTTGATGCTGCGCATTCAGGGTTTTGCGGGCTTAGGTTGCCGGGTTTAAGCTGTACCTGAGGGGGGGGTTTTTCGCCTCCAGAATAATACTTCAGGCCCCCCCCCCCACCGAAAACAATTTCCAGTCTTTGGGTCTTAGCCCTTATGGGTATGCAATACTACTAAGTATATAGGGGCCTAAACCATTACCATTACAAATTTGGGGGTGTTCCCTATCATAGCTATAGTATCTACTACCAGCCCTAGCCCTCCCCACCCCCCAGAAGCCTGAGGAATTGCGCTGGTGCAGCGTGGCGGATGCTACTTCTCGTGGAAGGCGGTGCTGGCCGAGGATGGGGCGTCGTCCGAGTCTTAAGGGATTCATATAGGGCATAGAAATATCAACCAACACATGGTTTTTGGGGGTTCCTGATTATGAACGTAGTATAATGGGCCCAAAACCCTGTTCTAATTATCAATGCCCCTATGTTAAGGGTTTTCGGTGTTTAGAAAGAGTGATCACGAAACCCCTAGACCCTCAACCCCCAAACAGCCCCAAGCCCTGTGTACTTAAAGACCAAGTAACCTACGGCCGGTTGGCCGGGCTCCAGAAGTTTCAGAAGTTTCCAATTCTCAAGTTGGCAGGTCTTACCTTTGGTTAGTAGGGAAGAATGGTAGTAATAGTAGCTACAATTGTATCCCCTTCCTCCATTCCCTACTAACCAAAGGTAAGAGGTGTTGAGGGCTCAGGGTTTAAGGTTCCAGGGTTTAAGATTTAGTTTCAGGGTTAAAGTGTTCAAGATTTAGGTCCTGGCGTGCAAGCATAAACCCTGGGCTCTCGACCTTTGCAAGCAAGTGACCTCAACAAGACACCCTAAACCTATCCTAGCTCCAGAACCCTCAAGACCCGAAACAGGCCTAAAAAACATCTACCCTGAACCTTAGACGCTTAAACTCCTGTGCGCTAAAGCCAAAGCCCCTAAACCCTCAACCACTACTGTGAGCCTTGCAGCTCCGGCGCATATGTCGGAGGAAGCCGGGGCTTTGGCGGTTGTGATGTACGACACCACCGCACCTTGCTTTCGCAACCAAGGTAAGGTTTTAGGGTTTTACGGTTTAGGGTTGATGGCTTAGAGCTGCTTGGGTTTTGGGTTTAGGGGTCTAAGGATTGGGGCTGGGGCTTCTATGCTTTCGAGGGGGTTCGGTTTTCGGTGGGCTGTTTTGTTCAGAACTCTGCACTTTGAGTGGGATTTTGCGGATTTCATCATCAGGGCCCTGGCTCGCAATACAGCGGTTACTAACGTGATTCCGTAGGTTTCCTCAAAATGCCTATTGTGCCCTGGAACTCAAACTGGCCCAAACGCCTCATAACTATCACATTCTGCAAGACCTCAAGGCCCTCTTGTTCATTGTCATGACCCTTGGAGGAGTACCCTTCAAGGAACATAAGTGGGTAGTTGTCAAAATTAAAGTCCCTTTTTGGGGTACACTAAATACGAGGTGCCGTACTATAATAGGGACCCAAAAAGGGACCATATTTTTGACAACCACCCAAATGAACCCTAAAGTAAACCTTCGATTAAGCCCTATGATGAAGGGTCCATGTACCCATATGGAGATACATGGGCCCCAAAGTACCCAAATAGGGACTACATTAAGGCCAATGTATATACTATATGAGTACATGTACCCTTAGGGTATGCTGAAGGGTATGACGTTCTCGGACCAAGGAGGAGCAGTCGACAGCCGTCCTGGCCATTGCCGGCCCCTTCCCAAATCCAAGGACACCCTGGGACTTACCGGGCTTGCTAGTATAGCAGAGTGTCGTATATATAGTATAGAATAGAGTAGCATGGGACAGTAGCTTGCCCCAAGACCCCCAACCCTACATTAATTGCTGTAGCATGCTGCAAACCAATGTTCTGCGTTATTAAGTGATACCGCATCAACGCCTTATGTGCCCTGCTCACGCTACTTAGTGGGGTTTAGGGTTGGACATTGGAGTTTAGAGTAGCTACTTCCCCCGAGCGATTTCGAAGGGGTTCCAGATTTCCAGGTGTTCTCATATGCTCAAAGGCAAAGCTTCAATGCCGTGCGGGACTCTCGAGACTTGCCTTGACGATGTCTGCAGCTTACTGCTTCTGCCGGACATTGCTTCAGAGCTCGGAAGTAAACCCTAAGCCCAACAGCAGCATCCGCAATCCTGTCAGGCGTCTCACTCCGGTGCTGGTGCTCTCACATTCTCATGGGTGGTTGTCAAAAAAAGGACAACCACCCACATTCTCTTGGTAGGCATCGCCATGGAACCCTCGTAGAACCCGATGGAACCTCAGGCAGCTTTCAAGAAAAACCCGAATCCCCCAAGCCCTGTAGATGCGATCCCTGAATTCCAGAATTCCAGGCCCAAGGGCAAATTCAAAGTGCATGATATGTATTTTGCAAAAAATGAAGAGGTTCCTATCACTCATTTACAAACCTCCAGCAGAAGCAAAAAAACAACACAACGTCGCGGAAGGATCGCCGGCTACCTGATCTCCCGAGAGGAGGGCACCGGACTTCGAGAGCGAGTGGAGCCATGTCTGCAACGCACTTAGGGTTTAGGGCTTATGAGGTTTGGGCTTAGGGACCTGAGGGTTAGGGGCTTGGGGATTTCAGGGTTTTCGACCGGGCTCTCATTTTTCTGATCGGCATTTATGATGATCCTCATGTTCATACATGGCTTTAGAGGAGAGGTTTCAAAGCTTAGGATGCAGGTGTTTATCGCTGTTCTTATGAGTAGTATTAAGGGTTTCGGGTCTATAGGTCTATGCTTAGGGTTCCTTTAAAGGGATCTATAAGGGTTACTATAAGGGATTCCTAAGAGTATTACGAGCTTCTCTAAATCAATGAACCCATGGATCGCAAGTCTTCCTTCTTCTCGGGGCAGTAGTCTGAACACTCCTGCACTCAGTTCCCTTATCCCCAACCTCCCATAAACCCTATCCGATTTAGAGTAGTCCTCACCTCCCAAAACCCCTCCACCCGGGTTTGGTGTTTGGGACTCTAGCCTACTGCACCCTGAAATCCTTCGAAATTGGTACGTCAGTGCAGCGCGAGACATCCTGACCCATGTTCCAACTGTTGCAAGTGGAATACGGACGCTTTACTACTTCGTAATCTCACATAACTCCTCACCCTAAACCCTAGCCCTAACCCCCGCCCACCCTAAACCCTCAACCCCAAACCCTCACCTGGGCTTACAAGGCTCCTTGAGCCTACAGCCGCAATACCCTGCTGAACCCCTAAACCGCACATTTCCTCTGTTCTCTGGCCCTAATACGGATTAGGGTCTAGAGTCCAACACCCCCTGAGTCTCGTCTCTAGGCACCCCAAAGGCTTTCTTCGACGATGACATCAACCCCTCGGAAAATCCCGAGCTCAACTTCCCAAAGCCCGAACAAAGGAGAATGGGGAGGATGTCGAGGTACTGTGCAGCTGGAGTCCGGTGGAGGCAGCTTCTTTTCCAGGGGGTGTTAGGTTGTGGAGCTCGCCGGTCTATAGAAGACATGTATGGGTCGTCATAAAGACGGGTCGGAGCTGAAACGCTCAACTTTTTTCAGCCAGTTTTTTTAGTTGAGAGGTATTGGTCTGTCTGGGTACGGATGATTCTTCATGTTGCATCGGCTTGTAGACAAATTCGAGAAATAACCTCCTCATGGCAAGATAACGCTGTGTAAAGCCATAGACAACCATGAATCCTGAGAAACCCCAAGCTGTGTGTGGCTTCGGTGGTCGTCTTCGGGGGTTCACTGCTCTTTGTGAATCTCCGAAACCCCCGAAAGGCTTAGTCAAGAACACTTAGGCCTGGAAGTATAGACACGAAAACTGACCCTGGTCTTTCGGAAACTCAGCATCGGACAGGGCCTTGGAGGAGACCCCGAGATAGCAAGATCCTTGATGTAGCCAACCCGACACCTTTCTATCAAGGCATCGTTTTGGCCTTATGTAGGGCAATGTCCCTCAAAGCACGAAATAGTCACTTTAACGCCAAGCCAAATGAGTTTTGTCCCAAACCATGAAGCCCGAAACCCTCCAAAGTCCAGAGAGGATTTAGGGTTGCATGATTAGGACAATGGCTCGTTGTCTTGGCACAAGTATTGCGGTGCTCTTAAGCCCTAAACCAAACGAACCCAAACACAGGTTTGGTTCGAACTCCCGGACTACTCTCCAGAGTTTAACGACACACTGACGTTGGAGAACGTCGGTGATGAGGACGTTCCAGGGGTCCATGCGGATGAAGGGCGGTAGCCCCAAACAAAATTAGCATGCTATTAACCTTATGGTCCGAATCAGTGCAGCTACACCGTGATATACCTCGAAGGTCTAGGAGAAGTCTTATGGCCTCTGTACTAGCCGTCACATCGACGGCTTCGCAGGCATCGAGAATTCGCAGTCTAAGGTTTGGGAGTTCGGGCTAATTGGGTTTTGGTTTCAGGGTTTATGGTTGATTATTCCAACTGCTGTGCCAAGGCCTTCATTCCCTGCTTCAAGCTGCCTATTCAAACCTTTCGACACAGAAGATCTTCGATGTTTGACTTGCAGTTTAGGAGAGTTGCTACAACACCGAGAAACAAAAGCAAGTTGCACCTCAACGCGAGAAGAGCCAACGTGCCGGGCACGCGCAACCTGAAGATCGAAACTTCAGGACATGGCGTGGGTGATGGATGTGATCGACACCAACGTGACTTTTGAACAGGACTGCCCAAGCCCTGAACCCAATACACCGATAATTCGAGGTGGGGGTCACGTGTGTTGGGATCTCAGGTCACGAGATTTCTGGCACCGAGTTGCTCCAGTTCCAGCCGTGGTTGTTGTCCTGACGGTGAAGAGCGTGACGAACAAGAGATGCTGGTGGCGATGATGAAGAAGAGAAGGTGATGATGGTTAGGGGGCGGAGGAGGAGAAGGAGGTGCTGTTGATTGGTGAAGAAAAATATTTTGATGTTTGTGGCTGCACTTATGATGTTGCTGACGGTAGTGATGTAAGTGCTGTTTTCTTTTGATGACGATGGTGGCCAGGACGATGGTGATCTGGATGTGGAGGAAGTTGATGGCAACGACGATGATCAACATCAGTTTTCGTCGTTGCCTCGCTGTCTTTTTATTATGCTTGCTTGAATCAAACAAGAGAGCAGGTAAAACCCGAAGATCTCCTACAATGTACACCTGAACCCGCTTCTAATTACACAGGACCCTGATGTTATTGAATCAGCCGATCCTCGAAGTGCTTTTAAATTCCTGAACTCCGTCTGAAACCTTGAAGCCTTAAATGGTCACCGCATAAACAGTACACGACCCAAGCCCCGGACCCAAAGGCCCCAAGCCTATCCCCTAAACCCGTATAAACCCTCCAACCCTAAACCCTAAACCCCAACCCTAAGGCTAGAGACTAGAGCAGTGCAAAAAGGCCATCAAAAAAGAAAAACCTAAACTTCAAAACCCCTAAACCCCATATACCCGAAGCCAGGATCCATTTTTTGCTTCCGCCATCGTGCCGGCACCTGCATCCTTCAGCTCCGGAGGGGCTAACGGGGGTGCGGAGGCGGGAGGGCATTCGACAGGGTTTTCTGGAGATTTCGGAGCGTCGTGTTTAGGGGGTTTGGGGTCTAGGGGTTTAGGGTGTAAGGATTGATTTTGAGGTTTAGGGCTCAAGGGTTAAGAGCTTCGGGGTTTAATTGGGGCTCAAGTCTAAGAGGGTTCAGGGCTTACCAGAGGCGTCTGAACAAGTAGCACCAGTATCTCCCCTAGAGCCCCTCTGCAATTGCACTGTAATTATATCCTCCCCCAAAGCCCTCTTCGAATCAGCTCAGCTCCTACAATCGCTGGAGGTTGGGGAAGGTTCTTTGGCGGTTGAGGGTTCTTCAAGGTCGGTGCTGTCGGTATGATGGTGCAAGGCATGCACGAACGACTGAAGCTTGATAGCACCAACTCAGTCCCCGTGAGCGAATAGAACTAGTATAGTGTAAGATTGTACGCCTATAAGCTGAAGTAGTGGTATGCGCAGTCGTTGTTGCCCACATTCATTTGAATGTCACCGGATAGCAAGTAGCAGCAAGCACCTTAGTAATCATGATGTTTTCAATAACGGTCTTCTAACGCTTGGCGTCCTTCGTCTTAAGTCAGGGAGGGTATGTACATATATATATATACACACATACACGCATTCATCCATACATACATACATGCATACATACAGACATACATACCTTGTGCATGTATTCACAAATACATTAATATGTATATAATATATATATATATATGTATACATACATACTCTACTATACTGCTATAATGGAGTATAATTAGGTCCCCAACACCGTAAGGCAGTATATATATATATATATATATATATATATGGACCCTCTGAGTCATGAAGCCAGGTTTGGTACAACTTTTCGGCGTTCAATGGCTCTGCAGCCGGGCGGGAAGGTAAGTTCACAAGCCCGAAAGCCCTTTGGTTGAGGGTTTAGGGCGTTTAGAGGTTAGGGTTTTGGGGTCGGGGTTTAGTTTAGGGGTTTAGGGTTTTGGGCTTTGGGGTCGGGGTTTAGTTTAGGGGTTTAGGGTTTTGGGCTTTGGGGTCGGGGTTTAGTTTAGGGGTTTAGGGTATTGGGGTTTACTGATGCTCTCTTAGTTGCATGCCTTGCGGTTTATGCCCCAAGAGCTGGTTGACAGTCCGATTAGAAAAAAGGACTATTGTTAGCACTTAGCATGATCATCCTAATTACGAGTCTGTATAAAAAGGGACTATTCTTAGCAACTTAGCATGATCATCCTATAAAGACTCGTAGTTATTGCGAGGAGTTTCCGAACCCTACAGCACGAAGTCTCGGGACCCACAAACCCTGAAGGCCCACGCCTTCATCTGGTCGCAGGGTTTGGTGCACCGTAAGCCTTAACCACGAAGACATCCTAAGGCCTAAACGCCTAAAGTCCGAAGCCTTCTTTATTCTATGCCCGCGATTTGGGGTAAAGGGTTTATGATGGCGTAGGGTTATGGGTTGAATGGCGCACCGAAACCGAAGAAACGCACATGCCTCAACCTTAAACCCCAAACTCTACAGCCCTAAACCTTTACCCCAAACCCATAAGCCCTAAAGCCTAAACCTTGAACCCTGGACACCGAATCTGAAGGAATGCCGTGCTGAGGTAGAACTGGATGACGCGGCCGAGTTGATGCCCTTACCCTTTGCTTTTCCGCACTACCTGGAGTATCACGAGAGTGCCTTTTCAAATTGAGGGTGCAGGATTTAGGATTTAAGTAGTGCTCTTCTTCGGTGAAGTGAGGGTTTAGGGTTTCGGGAATGCCCTTCCAAAGTGGAGGATCGGCCGATTCAATATGTAAGGCTGTAAGGTTACCAAAAGTATATAGGATTTAGTAACAGGTTATAGGTAGCTGAATAGGGGTTAGAAGTGCATATGTATATATATATATATATACATATGTATATATGTCTAATTACCTCGTTTGTAAGGCTGGTCACTAAGTCGCATGATCCTTTACAGGTCTCGTAAGGTTTTTTCTTCGAAAAGAGGCCTCTGCGGCTCCGTGAAGGGCTCTACAGGAGTTCCTTTAAGGGATCTGTATGAGTCCTTTAAGGGTTCCCTTAATCAGTTATCTTTAGGGGTTCCTTTAAGGGTTTACACGGGTAGACCTTATTGCTCCCGAGAAGACCACTTAGGTGCTTTTGTGTCCTGCAATGGGGCGCTCATTTTGGACCCGGTTTTGGATGCAACCTGGCTGGTCTCAAGAGATCTGCGTTGCAAGCCCTATATCTAGAGAGCTTGAGCCACTCTAAATTTCTTTATAAACTGAATTCGAATGAAACCCGATCACGAACAGCCCCGATTCCCGATCCCTAAGTCCTGCAACTAGTCGAAAAGCCTGTGCTTCCTCGAACAATGCTATTCTTCTAGTTCTCGTGCACACGGGTCCGTCTTTGGGGGTTCGGCATCCTTATAAAACAGATCATAAACGGGCCCTATCTAACGGAACTACCTATGTACAAGACCGAGCCCAAATTTGTCATCGTATGCAGTGGCGGTGGGAAATATCTGGAGCGACATGTGCCCATGTGCATTCCCATCTGAGTAGACACGGTGCATTTCTGAGCCCCGTACTATAGAAGCTCGATTACAACATGCAGATACCATTCCTCATCCTTCCTTGCTATGATTGTGCATTACGTATGTACCTCAGCCCACAAAATGCTCGAGTTTTTCATATCTATAAGGCCTCAATAATATACAATACTACGCTTCTAGGACCCTAGGAACCCGGTCTGTCGCCTCCCTGATGCCTCAAGCTGTGACACCTAAGGACATCACTAGAAAGGCTGCAATCCTGGGATCGGGTGTGGGGCCTCATGATGTGGTTGCGGCAATGTGGGCCGACATGACCTGCCCGCAGGAGATTCTGGGAGGGTTTCGTAAGGTTCAAGGTGCAGAGTTTAGGGCTTTACGGTTTTGTGACCCTAAACCCTCAGCCCTGAACTCAAAAGCCGAAGCCCCACACCCAGTTTGTTTTTTTTATAGCTTTATAGTCTTTGTGTCAGTATCCCAGAGGACTCATAGACACTAACATTATTGAAGCAGGTCCCCCAAAGCCATTATTAGGATGCTCTTTTTGGGCCTGATTCCATAATGGTAGTGTGCATGGACCCTCTTGGTTTTATACCTGAACTTATCTATTCTTTGCGTACGGCCCCCACCCAGTAATAGTTGAATCAATATGCAAAATATAGGTATATTCGGACCTTAGTAGTAGCCCTAGTATAGACTATTGCTGTATGGAGGCAGTACCTAACTTATTCCAATTAATTGGAGCCCTATTCTTTGGTTGGAGTGTGGACGTTGTTCGGTTTTGGAGGGCTCAGTGCACCACGGTTTAGGGTTTAGGGGTTTAGGGTTTACGGTGTATGATCTGGGTCTTGAGGTCGTGAGGTTTCGAAGGGTTTTCCAAGTGTGGGGTGTAGTGCATTCAGCTTTAGGGTATCGATTCCTGACAAGACCGAAGCCTTGAAGAAGCCATTTTCAACCTCTGATACAAGCCCTATGGAATCTTTATGCAACCCCTGAACCCTAAACGCTAAACCCTCAACCCTACAAGAGCACCCTGAAACAGAGCTTTCAGTGTTGAGGGTTTGTCTGGGCTACGCCCTGTAAGGCTTCGGCCTACCGTCTGCAGCCCACCCGAGACCCCGCAACTACCCTTCAAGAGGGACCTTCGGGGTCCCTATTATAGTACGGCACCGAGTATTTAGGGCACCCAAAAAGGGACTATAATTTTGACAACCACCCATATAGTTTGTGTTGAAGGGTTTAGGTTCCTTCCTTTGGCTATAGTCTCCTTAGGACCTTAAGATGTTTTGTTTTGTTCATAAGAGCCCAGAGAATATGTAGCATAGTCTTTTCGTATGGTTCTAAGCGGGGTACGGTTGGGGCCATAGTGGAGAGCATTTGACGTTTAGGAAGGGTTGGTCATAAGATCGTTGATATAGCGGTAGACTGAGAATGACATATCAACCTGCGCAATACGTGTGTTTGTGCATACGAGCGTAGGTACGTAGATGTGTGGGTGTGTATGGTGTATGTATGTACGTATGTACACCTGCATATGTGTGTGTTTTATAGAAAAGTAAAGATGGACAAGAGGCGGGTGTGATTGTCGCAGGAAAAGCCCAACAAGTAGGACCCTGCTCGAGGAGGCTAAAATCTCGGCATTTCGATCGCGTGCGGCGGACAGCCAGGGGGTCGAGAAAGTCGCTGTCCGGTGTCTTGGATGCTTGGGTTTACCTACAGGCTCATACCCTACCCCTTTTTTCGGGTAGCTAGTTTTCTATAATTATAGGAGATCCCAACCATAAAACCAGGTACCCCAAATAAGGGGTAGGGTATGACCCTCTAGGTAGGGTTCATAGCGGATGAGGTTGAGGGCCGAGCCTTTGGAGCTAAAGGTTTAAGGGGTTTAGTGTGTAGGGCTTGGGGTTAAGGTCTAGGGATGTATGGCAACTTTCAGAGGCCCAGAGCCTCAGTCCCTGGACCCTTTACCCTTGTTACGGTTTGATGGTTTTTGATTCTTGATGGTTTCGGATAGGAACATTAAAGTTGTAGTGGGATGTGAAGCAGGCGTGAGCGCCTAGAAATATGGGGACTGCTGTAGATTCTTAATTACCTATACGATTCTGGCGGTTCCTTATACTATAATTATTAAGGCTCCTATATTATCACCCACAGCCCTCTGCAGGTATGAAGGACTGCTGCTCAAAAGCGCAGCGATTGGTCCCTTCGATTTCGAAGTGTGGCTGCACAGCGATGGGCGAATCCTCTACTTACTGGAGGAGTTCCCCACCAGCAACCTCTCAGCCCTGGAAGGCACGCAAAATTCAGGGTTTAGGTTTAGGGTTTGGGGATTAGGGTTTGGGGTTTAGGGTTTAGGGTTTAAGCAAGATTTACTAACCATTGATATTGGGGGAGCTAAGGAGCCAGGGATGATGAGAATCCCTACTAGATAAGGAGCTAAAGAGCCCAAGCGAACCCCTAAAATCACTGGTTTTCGGGTCCGTTGAATTACTCTACTGTAATCTAAAAGCGAAGGAACCTTAAACCCAGTTCTCCGGTAGTCCAATTCCAGTCTAACTCGACAACAGGCCTTCTTTGCGGACCCTGCAGCCTTAAACCCTAAACCCTTGATAGCACCCTTTAGGAACCTAGACAGAAGCCCTTCTCTATGAGGCCGGGTCCTGTAAGCATCTGTAAGCTTTAACCTGTTCGGCTTCAAATCATCTACACCGCTGTTCCGTACCGTTATATGCCGATCTCTTCAAACATGTTCCCGCCTGAACGTCCCAAGCTTCTGACCCTTAAGCCCAAACCCTGAACCCGTCGAGCTCAGCCGTCAAGTCCTCAGCAGAGCAGTAACCCCAAAAACTTAAACCTGATACATACTTGCGTCCTAGGAAGCCTAGGCCTAAGCTGAGCAAAGCATTGAGATTGTAAGCTCTATAATCCCAAGCCTCCAACCCTGCACCGAAGCCCCAAAGCTTCAGCTCCTAAAGCCCGAGACTCTAGAAATCAGGTTTCGAGAGCCACAACCCCTGTGAGGCCTTGTGCCCTTCAAATCCTGGCGGTGGCCTTCAACCCGAAACTCTACAAACCGCCCTAAACCCAGAAGCACTGCGTACTAAGCCATAAAGCCCTTCACCCTAAACCCGACAAGACAGAAACCCTTAAACCCTAAACCTTCGAACCTGAAACCTTCCAACCCAAAACCCAAAACCCTAAACCCTAAACCCTAAACCTCAGACTCCTAGTCCTTGCGAAGGCATTCAGGTCGGCGCACAGCCAGCGACCGGCGCGAAAGCCTTGAGCATCGGATCCTCCTTGCCCTGGTCCTCGGGGGCTCCACTGGCAGTGTCTTGGGTTTCTAGATGTGGGGCTCGGGGTTTCGGGTCTTTGGGGTTCAGAGTTTCGGGTTGTAGGGTTTCGGGTGGTAGAGTTCGGGGCTGTGGGCTTAGGGCTTTGTATTTTAGGGTTCAGGATTTGGGGTTCTAAGCGCTGCCACTCTCTAGGGGTTTCTCCGTTTGGGGTTTCGGGTGATTGGGAGTCTCTCCCATTTCTTCTCCATGTGTGTGTGTGTGTGTGTGTGTGTGTCGTGTTTATGCTTTTTTGGTGAGAAACGGGGAGTTCGTCTTGGTTTAGAATGGGGTAATAGAGGGTCCTAAAGAATTAGCAATACTGTTTTAGTGGGTTCCTTATTATAACTATAGTACGATGGGCACCGAAACCGTATTCTGATTATTAAGGCCCTTATATTATAGTACCCTTCTAGATCCCTTATAGCAACCCTGATAAGGAACCCTTTTCTAATTATTAGTGCCCCCTGTATTTGTGTTGTCTTGTTTATCGCTCCCGCCTGGGGACTAACTTAGACGTCATGGGTCGGATTTCTGGAACCTTAGGATTTAGGGTATAATTGGAGTTTGGAGTTTCATTTAGGGTTTAGCAGAGCATTTAAGCTTTCATTTAGGGCTGCGCGTTTAAGGTTAAATTTAGGGTTTAGGTATGGTTTTAAGTGTTTACGATCTTGGGTTTTAAGGGTTTCATTTTGGTCAGGGGAGGTCTTGGAGTCGCGCTTGGCGGTCGGGTGGGTTGATGCGATGCGTCCATTGAAGAAACCCTGAGGGTCAGTGTAGCCAAAAATATATATATTATATATATATATATATATATATATATATATATATTAATATATATATATATATATATATATATATATACTTTGGGTGGGAAGTGCCTGAGGGAGCCCCATCATAGAACCCCGTAGTACCCTCAAAGGGAACTTTCCTATAGAACCCTCACAGGGACTACCTTGCTGAAGGCCAAAGTCTATACCTTTTGGGCACATGGGCCTTTTGGGGTAAACTAAAAGCCCTTCTTAAGTTCGCCCGGGTAGGGCCAGCTGCCCAAATCCCGAAACGCCCGGGCAGGGGCTTCAGTAGGTTGTTGGGGGAAGGCAGCCAAGATTGGGTTCTTCTTCAAGAGTTTATTTGTTAATAGAGATCCACAGAAAACCATAATCACGACAATATTTATAACAGTAGCTTTTCCTTCTTGTGGTGCTTCAAATTATCGCCATTAACAAGAATTCAGACGAGTTTCTTAGGATTCAAACATCTTAGTGAGGATGTGTCAGGTCCCGTCTTTCCTTCTAGTGTACCATCAAGAGTGATCCATCTCAATGATTGTAACGGGGGACCTCTCTGTTCTTTCGGTCTCACTTTGTGGTCCATTGACTCATTCCGACTCACCATCAAGAATGATGACCGGTCAGATGAGAGGCTCTTTGTGGGGGGCGTAGACTTAAGCTGTCGGGAAGAGGGGGATGCGAGCATCGCATGTCGCATGAGAAGGGGAGTTCTAGGGTTAAGCACTACCTGTATACGACAGCCTTAGACCTGTAGTAACAAAGGATCGATGTTGTGGAAGAGCCTTGACTTCTTGACTTCTGATCTCGAGCTGAACCCAACAAGCCAAGGTTTCTTTGACTCCCTGGTTCATGCTTCGCGAGAACGGCAACACCGTGATTGCCCCGAACCAATCTGTCACCATCAGCTTTGCTTTTGAACGCCAGGCGGGAATGAGCAGCTCCACATGTTTGTAACCTCCTTGCAGTAGTGGTGGCAGATGTCAGCAGCTCCTTCTTAAGAGCCGGAAAGTAGGGTGAAAAAGGGTACCCTGATCTGTAGGATCTGCTGAGGAACATTGGGAAACCTAGAGTCTTAGAGTGCTACAGGGGCCCCGGTAGATCCCTTTCAGGACCCCTTTAACGGAACCCCTTATAGATCCTAGAGTATGCTGAACTGCTAGGCCGATCTGGCCGGCTGGCTGCACTTCTATGCAGACGCTTGGCCTTTGTCAGAGGGTTGAGGGGTTTAAGGTGCTGGCCTCTTGGGGTTTAAGGTTTTTTAAGTTGAAACATAGGGTTTGTTTCGCACTACATGCCCGGCGCAGTATTGCTCTTAATGCTCTTAGTATGTTTCATTCTTTTCCTTCTCGTCCCAATCATGGCTGCCATTCTTGATTTTATTTGCATTATTGCCATGTTGCCTCTTTCCAGGGCTCCTTTGAATGTGTTCCGCTTGTTTGTATGTCGGGTTTTAGGGCTCGTGGGATCTTGGGGCATGAGGGTTTAAGCTTTTGGCGTTCAATTTGGGGTTTAGGGTTTAAGGTGCAGGGTCTAGGGTTGAGGGTTTAGGGTTAGGGGTTAGGGTTGGGGCTGCAGAGGGCCTGGGTTTTGGTTTCGAGCTTCTTGAGGGATGTGTCAGTGGTTCGTTGGCTTACTCCGTGCTGTTATAGAGGGGGTCTAGTTTCTGACTCGGTGTTCTGCTGTTTATGTGTGTTTACATGATTGCATGCTGCTTGCAATCTTCAGCGGATTACATCATCATATGCCACGGCCGCATTGATACGGAGTCAATCGTGGCACGAGCCTAGTGCCGCAAGTGGCAGTGGCATAAGCAACAGAGGATTCATGCCAGGCATACAACAGAATCACAAGCAGAGAGCCCTCAGCAACAGAGGCAATTGGATCCACGGGTACAGCCTGAATCCGAAAGCCGCCCCTCCACCCCAGGAGAAAAGCATTGGGATTTGGCACCCGCGTCGCAATGTTCGCTTCACCCAGCGCCTGTTTCGCGACTCGGAGTGGACATCCCGGTACCGACGAATCCATGTCCTGATTTTGATGAATAGTACATACTTAGGCTTAGAGGGTTGCTATATGGGTACATGGAGCCTTGTGGGAAGAATTTTGGGTTCAGAGGGCCGCGCAGTATGATACGTATGTGATGGCAGGGGCGATGGTGATGGAGATGGTGGACAATAGCTACACTGTGGTCATGGCTCCTCGCCGATGATGACTGTGTTGATGATGAGATCGACGATGATATCGATCTCCGATATTCGGATCAACAGTATGGCGTAGATGACCATGTTTCTAACAAGTTCTTAGGGCTGAGAAACCATGGAGCGCGATAGCAATGATGGTGATGGTGTTGATGACCATCATGATGATGAGGAGGAGAAGGAGGCGCAGGAAGAAGAGGAGGAGGACGACTGGGATGATGGTGATCACCATGATGACGACAAGAGGTGGCGTATGAAGACCAAGTGCAAGAAGGATGTTGATGTTGCTTTCTTGCTGAGAGATGATGAGAGACTAGCCGAGGCCATATGTGGGTTCTCAGCACGTGGGATGGTGGCTTGCACTCGGGTTCCTGTGCTGGCGGCTTCGTAAGGCGCCGGAACCGAACATGCGTGGGCAGCGACGGCCTAGAGTACAACGACAGCTACTGCGTCGGCACTTGCATGGACCTAGATCCTGTGCACAACTGGGACTATCCTACACGGCATGCCTGGTCAGACGGCTACAACAACGGATGCGAAGATTACCATGCCCTGGCTTTCTGCACTCCGACAGGATATGGAACCAGATGGGAGTCCTGGTGGGGCAAGTTCGCAGATTGGACCACACAAGGGCTGGACGCTGGAGAGGCATGCTGTTTGTGTGGAGGAGGCACTTATACGCCAGAGCTGCCCCCAACGGAAGAGAAGTGTCCGTCAGTCAACTGTCCGGCAAACTCGAACGGCACCAGTGTTCTGCATGGTTGTGTTTGCAATGCAGGTTATGTCGGAGTTATCAATGCCTCGGAGGACTACCCTTACTTCACAGGCACTTGTGCAACGGTTGCATGCCCCAAGTATTCGTCTGGTCCGCATGTTGCAGCTGGCTGCACATGTGATTACGGCTACATAGGAACCATCGTCGCCACAAGCGCTGACCCTTTTTATGAGGGTGTTTGTGTGGCAACGACCACTACGAGCAGCACCTCCAGGACAGATACCACTTCCACAGCCACCTTTACCTCCAGCACGGCCACTTCCACAACAAGCAGATCCACCACTGCCACCTCCCGTACGGTCACCACCAGCACAGGCACTGCAACGAGAACCACCAGTGCCACCAAGACCAGCACGATCACGTCAAGTAGCACCCTCTCCACAATCTCCAGTACGACCACGAGTGTTTCATCAAGAACTACCACTTCCACCACTTCAATCTCACTAACGAGGACCCGGACGACCGCAACACTTTCAACGACCACGAGTACCTTCACCGGTAGTTCATCAAGAACTTCAACTTCCACTACTTCAGCATCACAAACCAACACCCTGACCACGGCCACCATGTCGACTACCAGGAGCAGAACCATCAGCACCAGCAGCTCCAGTAGCACTTCAACTTGGACCAACTCTACCACCACCACCACCGCCACTCGAACGACGACCGTGTTCTCCAGGACTTGCGAGCATTTGGGATCCGCAACAGTGCAGCAACTGAAGTCTTTGCAGCCGAGCCCTCATAGAGATACTCTACATTCGAGACAGTAAATGAACCTGGAAAGTTAAAAGCATTCAAAAACCCTAAACCCTAAACCCTAAATACCCTAAACCCTAAATACCCTAAACCCTAAATACCCTAAATACCCTAAATACCCTAAACCCTAAATACCCTAAGCCCTTGATCCGAAGACTAGAAGCTCCCAACCCGCAGGACGCCGAATGGGATTCTCGTGGTTTCCACCTCGGAAAGCTCCGCAACCTCCACTCCTCTGTCTGAAGACTCGGATGATGGGACTCTTCGACGAAGATAGAGGTCTAAATGGGAGTTTCCGAAAATTAGGAGCACCTTTTTCAGGGGTCCTTATAATAAGGATCCTACTATTTAGGGTGCCATATTAGGGCCCCCTCTTTTCGGAAACTCCCAAATGGTCTCAAGAATGTGAAATGGAATGGTGCTTCAAGGTCCTATAGGTTTCCCGGTGTTATTTTATGGGAGTTTCCGAAAATTAGGGATACCTTATTTTGGGGTCCTTATATAAAGGATCCTACTATTTATGGTACTCCATTAAGGCCCCCTATTTTCGGAAACTCCCATATGTAAGGGTTTAGGAGTAATCAGGTGGACTCTTCGACGACTGTTTTGGATGTGAAAGCTTGGAGCTTACGGATTTTACTAGAGTTTGACAGCGGCTTATTCTAGTTGTTCAGGACTGTTCGACACTGTTTGGGGGGTGTGAAAGTTGAGCGACTTCGGGCGTTCGGGTGAAACGGCTTAGCGCTTCTAGGGCTTACGGCCTGAGGAGTTTAGAGTGTAACGTTGTTCAGCCTGTTTCTCTTTTCCAAAACAACCACCCTGATCCGTAAGAACTAGCCTTGCTTTCGGGTTCAGCTGGACTTCCGCAAAATTTTGTGTCGGCAGGTCTGCATCGGTGGCAGATTCACGGGGGCCTGAATAATTATATCATGAAATATTGTTGATGGTTTAAATCCTGCATGACCCATAATAAGGAATATACCATAATTCCCATAGTCTAGAGTCATTAAGGTAATGCAGGATTTATATCATCAACCGTATGTCATTAAATATGAGGGTTTCGTTGGTGTTTAGAGGGGCTTCGTTGAGCTTTATGGGGAGTTCCTGTTAGAAGCGACAGAAGTGTTTCATAAGGGGTTTATGGGCTGTAAAAGGGTTTTGATCTGAGAAGGTATTCTATGGTTATGCAGGGACCACAGGGGGACATGGCTGCCGATTATGCAGGCCCCTATATTGAGCCTGTTTAGGGTTGGGGTTGGCTGTGGCTCTCCGGCTTTTGTGGGACGTGCGTGGAACTGGGAATTCGTTCAAGATTCAAGCTTCACTGAGAATCCGAAACCCTTCACCCCATGCCCAAACCCCAGAAGAAGTAAGGATCCGACTACTTAGTATAAGTACCTTGATTGGGGTTGTAAGTAGTTATAAGTACAGTTACCCTAAGTATAACCCTAGTTACTAAGTCCCATGATCCCTTAAGTATGCCAGAGGGTCATTCTATCCGGGTTCTTAGGATTGTGAGGATCCTCTGATTTAAGGCCTCATGAGCCTCATATACTCGGTCCCTGTTACGAGGATCCGCCCGCGGAGCCCAGTCAGTCTCTCAAACTTCCAACCTAGACCCTATAAACCCCAAACACCTAAACCCTAAACCCCAAACCCCTAAACCCTAAACCCCTAAACCCTAAACCCCAAACCCCTAAACCCCAAAACCCCCAAAACCCTAAACCCTAAACCCTACATCGTCTCCCCTTTAAGGAACGAATCCAACGTTCCGGCCCCGGCTGTGGTGAAGATTTTGGGAGATCAGCGGTGTGTTGTTGGGACTGCTTAGGGCTCGATGTCTCTCAGGGTTCAGCCTTCAGGAGAGGGGTTAAGGTTTAGGGTTTAGGGGTTTAGGGTTTAGGGGTTTAGGGGTTCAGAGTTTTAGGGTTTAGGGGTGTAGGTGCAGTGTCGGATTGAGGATTTGGGATGAATTCGTTGAGTTCTCTTTTGAAAGTTCGTCAGTAGATTCGGACTCATACTCAGAGTACTAGCTGGAGCCACTCAGATCCGATCCTGTTTGTGATACTTAAGCAACAGTTTTTCAATCGAAGTCTGTCCATGTTCTCAGACTCCTTATTTTCAGACCTTCCGGCCCGCAGGTCGTGTCTCCCGGAGTGATTTGGGCGTTTCCTCCTAACCCTAGGCATCTAAGGACTCATATTTATCAAGGCTTTTGGGCCCAAGTTGGCCATACTCTATAAGGCTTTTGGGCTATTTTGATGCCCAGGCTAATGCAAGATCTCAGCCACCGGGACCCCAAGATCCAAAATCCCACGGCAGGAAGTCCCAGAGTCTTTACCCCAAGATCTGAATCAGTGCTGCCCACGCAGGCGTCCGCAGCCTATCCGCTGTAGCTGCCGCGTATAGGATACCCTATCCAGGTATGAACCTCATCCCAAAAACTCAGCCCGATACCTTACCTGCTGTAACTCTTAAACTCATAGCTCTTTGGCCACTGAACCCTAAAGGAACCCTACCGGACCTTCTAAGTCTAGGACTTCTGCTAGCGCATGCACCAAGGAGCCCATTCTAGCTGTAAGGCCCCTGTGAGATAGGCCGGAAGCTGAAACGCTTAAATTCCGAACGGTGGGGGGTATGGTTTTTATTTTTTTAGGGTTTTCAGAGTATTTGGGGTTTGGGATGTTCAGGGATTCAGGGCTTCTAGGGTGTGGTTAGGATGCCCTTTTGGAGAGGTGCTTTCCCAATAATGCTCACCCAGCTGCTCTACGAATAGGGTACCTTGAAGGGTTGTTGCAAACAGCACCTTGAAAGAACCACCACCCTAAACCCTTAAGCCCAACTCTAAACCCCAAACCCCTAGATTTATTTCAACCCTGACCCCCTGAACCCTTCTTAAACCCTAAACCCCAAAACCCCTGAACCCCTAAGCCCTTAAGTGAGCCCAAAGGTCTCCGACATGCGCGTCACTGAGACGACGACCTACAACGCAGGTCGCTGCTTCGGGGGTTGAGGGTTTAGGAGCTTTGGGTGCAAAGGCTTCGCGGCTTAGGAGTTTAGTAGTTTAGCGGTTTAGGGGCTTAGGGGTTTGGTGTTCAGGATTGTAGGATTTTACAAGTGTGCAGAGTTTGGGATTGATTCGGTATTGTAGGGTTTTTATGTTTTGTGCTTTTGGATTCGGCCCTTCGTTCTTTGTCAGTAGCCGGGCTTCGGATTGAGCAGCGACATTGTGTGACTGTGAAAATCCGACATCCGCCGCAGAAATCCCGCATAAGACACATAAGCACCCTAGAGCCAAAAACCTAACCCTAAATCCTAAACCCAAAGCCCTAAACTCGGAACCCTAAAACCCCAAAACCCTGAAACCTTAGAAACAACACGGCTGTGACGGCGGAGGTGCCGGAGCTGGAGTCCAGTTCGGCGGCACAGGCGGGTGCAGCGGATACGAAGCCAGCTGCGTTGGGGCTTAGTATGAGGATTCAGTTACGGCTTAGGGTTTGGAGCTCGGGGTTTAGACTGGGATCCACGGTTTCGGGTTCAGGGTTGAAGTGTCCAGCCTCCAGAGGAGAAGGAGCCAACAGATGGAGTTTGTTTTGCCGGCTTTTTTAGATGTAGCGGTTGTGCATCAGGGGACGGTTTCTGCATCTTGCACATCAACCGATGCCGTCTGGTGTGCCTTGAGCTCATGACTCTTCCGACGTTCTTATCTACCAGATTTGGATTTCTGAATTCCTCTAAGCCCTAAACCCCACAAAAAGCCCAAACAAGCCTACACCCTAAGCCGAGCAGCAGGGGGAAGCGTGTGAATTCAAAATCTGGTTGGTGCGATGATCGAACTCGGGGTTGAGCCCTTTATACAACAGAAGAGACGCTGAGGCCCATGGCCCATGGCTCCTAATGTGGTGCTAGGGTTTAGGGTTTTAGGGTTTTAGGGTGTAGGGTGTAGGGTTTAGACCAGTCTACATGGCCTTGGTACCATCGTGGTGTATATACTCCCGGTGCAATGAGATGGACTAAGAACCTACGACCTTGGTGCCTCGACTCTGTGGGGCCTCTCGCATCCCGAACGAAATCATACGAGACCCTTCAAGGAGCCCTCTAGAGGAACCATTGAAATTTGAAAGAAACCGTTTTAAAGGTGACCTCACCGCCTCCTCCACTCTCTTCCCCGTGTTCGTGATGGTCATGCTGATCATCGTTGCAGCTCAACAGGGAGAGTTTTGGGTTAACGGTTTCTTTGCAAAAGCCGAACTATGCACAATAAAGTTTTTCCGCCAATGTTAGGGCTCCAGCTGTTTTGGATTGCGGCTTGAGATTCCCAGTCTGTGGTAAACGGTCTGCCGCTGAGGATTGGAGGGGGATTGAAGCTGTTTGAGATCTAACTTGAGAATACCGAAGGCGGGTTTCAATCATTTCCTGGGCATGGAACCTTCGCATCTGGGCAGGTAAGAGCACTAGAAGCTGATTTTGATTTGGAGGTGCCAGTCACAAGAATAAGTCTTCTAAGGTACGAACTATGGTGGCTTGCTCTTAGTCCGGATTCCTTTTGCGATGTCTGTCCTCAGACTGATTTGTACATGGAAGATTTGCTGTCCTCCTTCCTAAGAATCATTAATGAGCTCGAATTTTCTGAACTAGAGCTTACCACGGACACCAGAGGGCTGAGGGGCTTGACCCTCATCTGAGCTTTCGAAGCTCCGAGCCCAGACCCCTAGACCCTAAACTTTAAACCCCAAGCCTTCAACTGTAAACCTCAGAAAGGCCTTGAAGCATACCGGATCCGGCCGAACCCTAGCCCTCAACCCCAAGAAGCCTTATTCTGGCGAAGAAACTTCAGGGGTGTGGGCCTTGGGGTGTTGAGGGTTGTATTTGACGTTTGTGGCCTACAAACGTCCCCACAAGCCTTTCGGATGTCTTATATAGCTTCTTGGGATGTTGTGGAGGCTTGATGACATCCGCCACGTCTTGAACCCAAACTCCAAACCAGTGCTACAACACAGGCCTTCAGAAAGCC